TCCTCACGCTGGGAGCGGCTCCTTGTCCCAGGCGCGCGGGGCGCTCCCGCGAACCCCGCGGGTGAGTCTCCCGCCCCGTGGAGGTAGAGGGTCTGGGGCTGTGAGAGGGTACCAGTATTACCCATTTCCAGAAACTTCCAGGTCCCAAGGGAGGGGGCGTCTGGGGATACCCTGATTGGGGTGGAGTCTCTCGGGCGCCGCCCCGCCAGCTTAAGCTGGGGGCTTTGCTTCTGGCCGAGGGGGCAGGCGCGGGATTCCGGGGCTCCCGAGGTGTTGGCGGGGCGGGGGTTCTCCCTTCTCGCCCCCTGTCTCGTCAGCGCCGCTTCTCCTCGTTTCTCTTGCAGATGCTGCTGCTAGGGGTGGTGGGAGCAGCCGTGGGACGTGTGGCCGGGAGCGGGGGTGACAGCCTGGGATTCCGGGGGCTTCTCTCCTTGTCTTCCTCCTCTCCTCTATATTCCCAGTGTGGCCGTGGCTGACACTAAAGACTTTGTAGCCACCAACCAAGTGCAGTTTCAATGGAAAATGAAGGTAAAGGCCCCTGGCAGACGGGTTACAACGCGGAGTTGAGGGTGTGGTGGTTTGCTTTTTTTTTTTTACCTTCCCCCACACCCCTTTGATTTTATTATTATCTTTTAATTGTGAAGTGTCCAAAGAATTGCTTTCTTAGGACATACAGCTTTTATTTTGGTAACATAGGACATTTTGGAAATTAAGGTTCTATGGGGTGACTGAGCTTGATTCTGCTTTCCTGACACATGTTTAGCTTGGGAAATGGAAGTGAAGTTTTTATTTCAGATAGCATTTATGTTTGTTTAAATCGCTTTTTGAATTTAATCACTCGAGAGAAAGTGGAAATGGGGAGGGAAGAAGAGGGACTGTATTTCTCTATATCTGCATATCAGTGCTTGATAGGTGGCTGGATTCATTTACAAGAAAGTGATTTTTTATTAAATGCAGGTTTGGGAAAAACTGTTTTTCGGTTCACATAACAATTCTGAATTAACGAAATATTATGAGGTGATTTCCTTTCTTAAGGTTCCTGTCCACTTTAAAACATCGTTTAGGAGGTTGACAGTGGAACCTGTTTGTCCAATGTACACTTTGGACACATTAGATTTTCATTCAGTGTTACTTGATTCCTTTGGCCTCATATAAATATTTAATGCTTTTTGTACACAGCACTGATTATTTTAAAAAAGCGTTGAACAACTCTGAATAAATAATTTTTTTCCCTTCAGAAACAACCATAGTTATTCTTTGGACTGACTTGTGACTTGTGTGTTATTTTTTTCTTCCTTTTTTTTTCCCCCCTTCAGGGCTGCAAGATGCTATAAAAGATACTTACAAATTACGATTTGTCCTCTTGTATCTTTTGGTTTTTAAAATCAGTACGGTGTCTGGTACAAAGGAGCTGCTTTCTAATTTGATTTTCCGTTGTTGAAAATGTAAGCTTGATTGTCCTAAGTAGGACTAGTGATTTTACAATAGATGTTTCTTATATGCAGTAATCTTTTCTGCTGAGACCCATGGGATAATGGAGAAATATGATGAGAGGCACGATTATATTGCTCATTTCTACTTTGGGTGGGTAATTGGTGGAAGACATTTTCTGAAATACTAAAGTGTATAACTGCAGAGGAGTTCTAATGTCTAATTGAGTCTTTAGAAACGGCATTTGAAAGCAGTTATATTTTTGCCTGGTGGAATGGAAAATCACTATTCTGAGGCTTTTCCATCTTTTTTTTTTTTTTAGTTTATATATTTAAGAAAGGCAGATCTTTTCTGCACAAAAAACAAAGAATATTAAATGCATTCATTAATATACCTATTTCTCTGTAGTCGCATCTTAAATAACATCTAAAACTCGAGTTTCTGTTTTCAGAATGTTACAGATTTAAGAGAGTAGCCTAAAGTAAGTGGATTCTTAGATGTTGCTTTTGTTTCTTGATCTCTTAGGAAAAGGAGCATGACTAATAAGCTGACTCTCATTGTCTGTTGAGGTGGGAGGGAGTGGTTGTGAGATGAGAGCATGGTGCATCCTTGTGGCTGACTGGGCCTCAAACAAGAATGATTTGGCCTCATAGTAAAATATACACTTCTTAAAAACTTGTGGGGGTTTTCTGCCTCATAATACTCAGGAGGACATTTGTGTCCGTTTCTTATTACCATAACATTTTTTTCTTTTTTCACAAACATTTTAAAGAATTTATATATAGCCTAGAAATTTTCAAGGCAATTGACCATTTTGAAATATACATGTGTTGTTATCACTTTTTTAATATTTGGTATTCTCTTTTGACATGATGTATTAGCATCTTAGGGGTATGAAACAAAAATGGATTCAAATCATTCCTTAACTACTAAAACTTGTGTGAGTTTAAGCAAATTACTTCACATTTCTGAACCTGTTTCCTCATCTATAAATTGGTATTGATAATACTTAGCTTACATAGTTAAGAGGGTTACGTGAGAAGCCCTTTATAAATTTTCTTGAGAGAGCAAGTCTAGAATTTAAGAACATGATTTGTGGAGCCAGGTAGCCCGATTTGAGTACTGGATCTCTACTTAACATAATTTGGCCTTGTGCAGATTATTAAATCTTTTTGTGCTTCATTTTTTTTCATAAAATAAGAATATTGATAGAACCTACCTTCTGAGGTTGTAAGAATTTAGAATAGTATCTGGCATATAGGAAGTACTCAATAAATGTTAACTATAAATAGCTTAGTTTAGTGCTTGCATACTAATACCACCTAGCATTAATGTTGCTGTTATGACAGTTGAATGCTGAAAGGGGAACAGGAGTGGCCAAAACACTCTGTATGAAGTTGTCATTATTAGTTAGAGATTAGTATAGAATTTCTATAGTGTATGGCTTTAGGTCTATAGAGAAAGTTGGGGCCCTACCAAGAAGCCAGGGGCCAATGTAGAAAGAAACAGGCTTGCATTTGAATCCTGATAGGTAATTTTTTCCTCCCTAAAAATCTGGTTACTACTTGGTACGTTTCTAAGCTTTTTTAGCTTCTACATTTTCTCATCAGGGATTAATACCCTCTCGGAGGGTTGATATGAAGAATAAATGAAGCCTGGTATTCGAAATGCCCAAAAGGATGGTTGACACAGTATACATGAATGAGCGATTGTTGCTATTCTCCCGAAACAGAATCCTCCAGTAGGTCTGTAGTAGATAAGTCACATCTCTAGGTATGTACGGGGTAGAATTGATAGTGGCTACCAGGAGTGTTAGCATGAAGGTTCTTAGGTAGTGTGCCATTGTTGTTGAAGGGAATGACATGTTGGTTTTTTTTTTTCAGCAACTGTGGTAATTTCTTTGGCACTTCAGTTTTAATTCTTGAGGACCGATTTCTCCCGTGGCACACTTGAATTCTTCTGAGAGCAAAGATTGATCAGTTTTTAGCCTTAGCCTCCAGGATGTTTCATGAACACTTCCTGCCAGTCACTTGAAGTATTTGAAGCGTTAATTTCCTGGAATTTCTGAGACTGGTCCTAGTCATCCATTTGTGGATTAGGATTTTATCCACATCCTGTGAAACTTCTTTTTGCTTGTTTATAACAAATCTAAACAGATACCACTTAGGAATCCGAGATACATAAGTAAAGGCTCTTTTTCTGATTAAAAAAAAAAAAAAACCTTATATGTGTTTAAACGGATAGCTTATTAGAAAAGCTATTTCTAGCTGGGAAGTTTTCAGATAGTTTCTCCTTCCCAGTATTTTTTTTTTTTTTTGGAATAAATTTGGCCTTTCTCATAGAAAAAAACAATATAAAGTTAATGCACATGAAACTCTAATAGTAGCCTTAAATGTTTCTTTGACTAATGAATAAGAATATAATGCTCTTTAAGATTTCAAGATGTGCTTAATTTAAGGTTATAGGCAGGGCTAATAGGTCTAGGATGTATTTCCCTAATCTCTTTGGATTGCATTTGAAAATGATGGTGTATTTAATTATACCTTACTTTTTTTTAAAAGTACTTCCTTATTGGAGTTTAAATTATTAATCATCTAGGATTGTCTTGAGAAAGATTGTGTTAGAATAGTTGGAGGGACTATAAGGAAAAAGGGATAAGAAACCACCTTAATTGTATTCCTTTAGGAAGCCAGGTTATAAAAATATTTTACATTTTTAGGTGTGGAAAATGTAATTTGTTTGCAGTTTTGTCAGTAAAATAATAATATTTCTAGGAAAGAGTTGAAACTAAAAGAGATTATGTATGTGACAGCATGGTATAAATGGCAGTAATTTAACCCAGAGGAAGGAAGGATGCTGTAGAGATTATTTTATCAGTAGCCTTCTGACAGTTGAATCCTAAATATTTGATTTGTCTTAATTTTTTTATCATTCACTTAATGTCAGCAGAGTTCAACTCTGTTAACTAAAGTGGTTATCAATCAAAATAGTCTCCTAGGAAACACACCTTCTGGGGCTTAAGGCTGATTTTCTTTGGAGATCTTTGTTAATCATATTGTTTCATAAGGTTGAAAGCTAGGAGCAGTGTAGTTTGTAAAGTTCACTGGGATGAATTTTAAGTTACACTGTTGTTACATGTAACATCTCAAGGTTCTCTCTTAAGGATCAGTTCAAAGGGTCCTATATATTTATTTGTTAAAAGATAAATTCTTTTTATAAAGATTTCAGGCATCATTTGTGACAAGATCGGTTTTTTTTTTTTTTACCATTTTCATATGGACAAGTGTTGGTAAAAGGCAGTAAAACAAAAACTGGTTGAGTGAGGTTAGGTTAATACTGTCATTTCATATAAGAAATGATTTGGAAAAAATATGTCAGGCTAAACTGATACATTTCCTCTAGATTTTATATGGCTGGTATTTATGTACATTTGTTTATATTTTTCCATCTTCAAGGCTTTACATTAACTATTGACAAAGGTATACATCCTAGAATTATAATTACTCAAAGTGTGTTGAATTAGATTAGTTAGGCTAAGCTTATTTGATACATTTGGAAAAGGTTTGAATGAACTGTTACAAGACTTTGGTAGATTATAGGCAGAGAAGGATAGTAATAGAAGGGATCAAA